GAGCTTGGACTTCCAGCAAGCATGCATGACTGTGTTAGATAAGAGCAAATGGAGACAAATGCTTTTTAGGACTTGATGTGCTGTTGGAGTGTGAGCAAGGTAACATTCATGAAGGGATTCAGGGAAACCGACAGGCTGGACTTGAGTCCTGGAGATGGGAAGTACGGTGCCAGCACTCTGAAGGAGGGATGTTAATGTTACAGTTTTATAGCTGTAGTTTATGTGTGCGTCTGGCAAGACAGTGTTGGAGTGAATGATGAAAGTTTTTTTTTTTCAGGCCACCCTGCTTTGGTGGGAAATGGCCAAGGTGTTAATAAAAATAAATAAATGAATAATAATACATAATAATATAGTACATAGGAGTACATGAAGGTATCTCATAGCACAGTGGTATTGTATCCAGTTCAAAACCAAAATGGACCAGGGCAAATCCTGGGAAGGACAGATTTACAGGAAGGTCTCCTAACACCTACTGTCCCTTTTACCTAGATACTTTGGAGTAGAAAAGTTACAATATATTTTACTTAAGTGTTATCCTTGGTTAAAACTACATAATGTACTCTTTATGTATACATATGGTATATCATGCATATGTTATTTGTGTCCTGTGCCTCGGTTCATAGCGAACTCAGCTTACATACTTAGTGCCCATGGTTCAATCCCTGACATGGGGTGGAAACACTGGGCATGTTTCCTTACACATGCTGTCCCTAAGTAGGTAACTGGGTGTTAGTCTACTGGTGTGGGTTGCATCTTACCTGGAGTTTACCTGGAAAGAGTTCTGGGGGTCAACGCTTCCCGCGATTCCTGACTCCTATAAGATTCCTTTAGCTTAAGTTCGATGCTTGCTATTTCTCTGACCAGTGTCTCCCTACGCATTTCAGATATAATGACCTCTTTTAGCCGCTCTGTTATTCTTTTCCGTCGCCTTGGGGGACAAGATTAAAGGACACTAATGGAAATAAGACACAGTACCATGGGCTTTCTATATGCATTATCACGTGTCACCCATTTCTGTACAATGTATCATGTGGAAATAAATTTTGAATTTGAATGATGCACTGACTTTATTGGGTTATCCTAGATGGTTAATCCTCCGAGTTAATTAACCCTTAACCCCTTGACTGTCGCAACCCCCAATCCTGAGGTGTCTCCTGGTGTCGCAAAATTTCAAAAAAAAAAAAAATAAAAATAATAAATTTTTTCTTATGAAATGATAGAGAATCTTTTCCCGATTGTAATGACACCAAAAAAAACGAAATTTGATGGAAAACTGACGGAATTATGCTCTCGCGAAGTTAGCAACCTCGGCGATATTTACAAATCGGCGATTTCGCCCAATTTGAGCCCTATTTTCGGCTAATTCCATTGTTCCAGTCGACTAAACTCATAGCTATTTCTTTAGAACTACATTTTTTCTATCGATTGAGTACAAGAAACTGCCCATTTACTGATTTCAACTACCCAATAATGTGGTCAGAAATTTGCAATTTGGCCAATTTCACGAAAATTAAAAAATATGACAATTTCAAAATAAGGTCCAGAATGAACAATGCAGACATTACTGGCTCTAAAATAACATTTTCTTTGTTCATCAGTCATGTCTCCAGGCCCCTCTGATATTACTCTTGCTTTCTATTTTGAATTTTTATTCAAACAAAAAATAGAAGACTTACTATTATGCAGACTACTGCAATACTGTAATAATTGTATAAATAACATCAACCCATTCATGACTGCATATTAGAATGGCTAGTTGGACATTTATTGGACAATGACATCATTTGTTTACTTTTGAACATTGGCAAAAATCAAACATTTCCCCTACTTTGAGCTCCATTTCCAGGTTCTTTTTATAGTAAAATCAATCAAAATCACCTCTATTTCTATAATATGTTTTCCATTCTATCAAATGATACCAAGAAAACGAGAATACAACCATAAATACTATACGAAAATAGACCACAAAGTCGGCATTTTAATTAAAAAAAAAAACGGTCGGAGTTTTTTTTTTCTCATTATGCACTGCGTGCTCCAGGATTTTTTTATATGGTGCACACTGACCACACAGACCCATTCTCTCACATGTGGGCCTACCAGCTTTCTCTTACTTGATCTGAAGCCGCTAGAATTTATGAGTATATATACGTCACACACGGTACCTCGTAAGACATATATACACGGCCGTGACAGTCAAAGGGTTAAACTGTCCAAACAGATCTATGTTCACATGTGTAGTGCTCCAAAAGTAGATTTACATTTTTTTTACATATTTTCAAATATAACAACAAAAAAAAGTAGATCAAAGTTTTTTTACACATTTTCAAATGTAAAAAAAAGATCTACTTTTTTTACATACTTTCAAATGTTGAAAAAACGTAGATCTACGTTTCGATAGTTTAAGGGTTTAAAAAATTCTTTTATCTTATCCCTCAGTACTCACTCACAAATGTTTAAGTATTTTATTTGCAGTGATATATTACCTGAAAAAAAACTCAATAATAATAATATTTACTCAAGAAACTACAAATGTTTTAGACAGTAGTCTAATTTGTACAATGGTCATGAGGACACAGGTATATGTACAGGCAGGCATACAAGAGTACAAGATGTAAATTTAACTTAGGATAATCAAATGAAGTCAAACAATATGAATTATATCTACTGGATTCTTAACTTTGACTCCTAAAACTCCTATAACTTACCTAACAACAAATTTATCCAATGAACTCACTAACTGATAAACCTTATTTCCACAAATTAAGACTTACAAGTGATTCAGGAAAAGGTAACATTATTGACACACTTTATAGATAGCTCCTGATTATGTAGCCTTACTCAAATTTTCCAAGAACAATTTGATGGAAATTTTAGTAAAACAATTTACTACAGTATAACGTTTGTGGAGGTTATTACAAATATTAATCAAATACAAATTCAAATACTAATGTAAATTTCAGAATTATTACACAGGACATACAATAAACTGAAGGGCTGTATAATATATAGCATCTCTGGTAAACTTTAACCTATAGTACTATACTTAAAATTTATTGTTAATTATTATTAATAATATTCAAATTATCAGGACAATTGTAAAAATTTATGCTACTGAATGTAAAGAGGAGCTTAGCAAACCTTTGGCTAATCTTTTCAACATATCACTACAAACTGGCATGGTGCCAGATAAGTGGAAAATGGCAAATGTGATACCTATTTTCAAAGCAGGTGACAGGTCCTTAGCTTCGAACTATAGACCAATAAGCCTAACCTCCTAGTGGGAAAATTTATGGAATCAATAATTGCCGAGGCAGTTCGTAGCCACCTTGAAAAGCATAAATTAATCAGCGAATCTCAGCATGGTTTTACAAAGGGGCGTTCCTGCCTTACGAATTTATTAACTTTTTTTACTAAGGTATTTGAGGAGGTAGATCATGGTAATGAATATGATATTGTGTATATGGACTTCAGTAAGGCTTTTGACAGGGTCCCACATCAGAGACTACTGAGGAAAATTAAGGCACATGGAATAGGAGGAGAAATTTTTTCCTGGATAGAGGCATGGTTGACAAATAGGCAGCAGAGAGTTTGCATAAATGGGGAGAAATCAGAGTGGGGAAGTGTCACGAGCAGTGTTCCACAGGGTCAGTGTTGGGCCCCCTGCTGTTCACAATCTACATAAACGACATAGATGAGGGCATAAAGAGCGACATCAGCAAGTTTGTCGATGACACCAAAATAGGCCGTCGAATTCATTCTGACGAGGACATTAGAGCACTCCAGGAAGATTTGAATAGACTGATGCAGTGGTCGGAGAGGTGGCAGATGCAGTTTAATATAGACAAATGCAAAGTTCTAAATGTTGGACAGGACAATAACCTTGCCACATATAAACTAAATAATGTAGATCTTAGATTGTGAAAAAGATTTAGGAGTTCTGGTTAGCAGTAATCTGAAACCAAGACAACAGTGCATAAGTGTTCACAATAAAGCTAATAGAATCCTTGGCTTCATATCAAGAAGCATAAATAATAGGAGTCCTCAGGTTGTTCTTCAACTCTATACATCCTTGGTTAGGCCTCATTTAGATTATGCTGCACAGTTTTGGTCACCGTGTTACAGAATGGATATAAATGCTCTGGAAAATGTACAAAGGAGGATGACAAAGTTGATCCCATGTATCAGAAACCTTCCCTATGAGGATAGACTAAGGGCCCTGAATCTGCACTCTCTAGAAAGGCGTAGAATTAGGGGGGATATGATTGAGGTGTATAAATGGAAGACAGGAATAAATAAAGGGGATGTAAATAGTGTGCTGAAAATATCTAGCCTAGACAGGACTCACAGCAATGGTTTTAAGTTGGAAAAATTCAGATTCAGGAAGGATATAGGAAAGTACTGGTTTGGTAATAGAGTTGTGGATGAGTGGAACAAACTCCCAAGTACAGTTATAGAGGCCAGAACGTTGTGTAGCTTTAAAAATAGGTTGGATAAATACATGAGTGGATGTGGGTGGGTGTGAGTTGGACCTGACTAGCATGTGCTACCAGGTCGGTTGCCGTGTTCCTCCCTTAAGTCAATGTGACCTGACCTGACTAGGTTGGGTGCATTGGCTTAAGCCGGTAGGAGACTTGGACCTGCCTCGCATGGGCCAGTAGGTCTGCTGCAGTGTTCCTTCGTTCTTATGTAGTAATCATTTGCATATTTCTATTATTATTACAGTATGGAGAAGAGCTAAAACTGGATGGGTGACATCGCCTGGGAATGTGAGGTAATTAGGTTTGACCAAAGGTAAATAAAGTTAGCTTCAATTCCCTGGATTAAGAACCCATCATTATCATCAAGGGACCTTCCCCGAAAGGGTAGATTCCCTTCAGTTTATCTTGTCCTTGCTAAATGTGGTGAGCGGCATCCTGGGTAGGGGGAGCGTCAGGCCCTCAATAAGTCACACTGCTCGACTCCCTTCACTCCCCGGTAATTAATCCGAATTTGTTACGTACCATTTATCGTTGGTTTCACAGTGAGAGTCGAGGAAGATAAGGACGTCTCCGGTGGCAGCTCGTGCCCCTGCCAGCCTGGCCCTGATGAGGCCATGACGCTGCTTGAGTCTGACAAGCTTGACCATGGGTGGTAGTCGGTACTTCAGGTACAGGTCAAGCTTCTCTCCAAGCTCAGCTGCAAGTACGTTAATTTTATTTTATTTTTATTTATTTAGAAATTTAGCATACAAACAGAGGTACAAAAAATACAGGTAAGAGCAGCATGCCAAAGCCACTTATATGCATAGCATTACGGGCTGGCTTAAAATTAACTTAAGATTAACTAAGCAATGATGAAATCAGTGATAAGACATTATTGTAAACAGATAACTATAAAAGGTATAAAATACCGACAGGCTGTTAGGTAAAACACATATGCAACAGTCAGGTATATTTATTTCGAAATGTTTCCCCTACACAGTATTCAAAGTTTATTCTCTATAAAGATTACAATGTTAAATTTACAGAATTTGGTTGTTGTGTGGTTTACGTGTAGTTAAATAATGATTACAGAGTGTACCACTAGAACGCCTAGCATGGCTAGGCATTTCGGGCAGACCAAAAAAGAGCTTTAGAATATAAAATTCAAAGAAGAGCTACATAATATACAGAAAGTCTGAAGAAAAGTTTCATAATATAAAATTCAAAGAAAAGTTACTGAATTTATTCAGACACGAGTGAACACCTGAGAACACATTCACAAATTAAACTTGAGTTAATAACTGCTTAACTCCACCTCCTGGGAGATTCATTCAGTAGGCTTCTTCAGTCGAGTACATTAAAGTTGGCAGAAGAAGAGATGTGAAGACGATGTAATCAGTCCATCACCCACGAAGACGGAGTGGCCTGGTGGCTAAAGCTCCCGTTTCACACACGGAGGGCCCGGGTTCGACTCCCGACGGGTGGAAACATTTCGACACGTTTCCTTACACCTGTTGTCCTGTTCACCTAGCAGCAAATAGTCGACTGGTGTGGGTCACATCCTAAGTTAGACAGTCCTCGATGACGCACTGACTTTCTTGGGTTATCCTGGGTGGCTAACCCTCCGGGGTTAAAAATCTTATCTTATCGTCTTCACATCTCTTCTTCTACCAACTTTTCTGTACTCTACTGAAGAAGTCCAATGTGTAGGGGAAACGTTTCGAAAAAAAGATACCTAACTGCTGCGTATATGTCTTACCTAACAACGGTAATTAACTATGTTTAGGTACAGTTATACATGAGTACAGTTACACATTAAGTTTATTAAGGTACAGTTATAAAAGAGTACAGTTGCACACTAAGTTTATTCACGTACTGAAGTACACATAATATGTTATTGGCACACAAAATAGTAGCTCTCAAATATATGATAGAGAGAGGCTGAACAAGCTGTATACAACGTATACATCTTTTTCAGCCTCTCTTTATCCTTTAGACAAAATTGGAATGTGCAGCATCTGTATGGCGTCCCCAACTAAAAACTTAGATCATACTAAGTCCGAAGAAGAGCTGGAAATATAAACATATGCAGTATAATGTGATCCTTTATTGACAACGTTTCGCCCACACAGTGGGCTTTTTCAAGATCTGTTTTATCTGAAAAAAAAGCCCAGTGTGGGCGAAACGTCGTCAATAAAGGATCACATTATACTGCATGTGTTTATATTTCCATTGTGTCGGTATTTTATACCATTTATTTCCTCCGAAGAAAAGATACAAACTTTATATACAGAAAGACCAAAAAAGAGCTTTAGAATATAAAATTCAAAGAAGAGCTACATAATATACAGAAAGTCTGACGAAAAGTTTCATAATATAAAATTCAAAGAAAAGTTACTGAATTTATTCAGACACGAGTGAACACCTAAGAACACATTCACAAATTAAACTTGAGTTAATAACTGCTTAACTCCACCTCCTGGGAGATTCATTGATACATGACTACGTGTAAAACAAGTCATACATGACCACTTGTACAGAAATATTCATACATAACCACGGGAATACAAGATTTGTGGAAAATTACATTTAGCTGAATGTATCATTATTTACATAACAGTAAATGAACAAAGATAATTATTATTTATCAGTTAGACAAGTAGGAATTTGGAGCACCTAGGTCGCAAAAAATGTCCCCCTTCGATACCTACCACTGTCATATCCACAAGTTGCTCTGGACTTATTAATTACAAATGAAAAATACATCACCAGGAATATTGGTAATTATATAAATTTGTGGACTGTATATTAAATTAAAAAATGATTATATATAAACACATTTACATAACAGAAGGAAAATATCTTAATCATAACACTCACCAATTTGACTGGAGATTAATGTGTCATGTACAGGACCCCCCCCCCCCTTTTGCCTACATTTATGAAGAATTTACTGGCCAGAAATTAAACATAATTTAGACAGCTTATCTGAGGTTCCTGGAGTTGTCCTGTCCTGTCGCCTGATTCTCAAATTATGCAGGAATGCACATCCAACAATTTCACCTCCTATTTGAGAGGTGTCAGCCCGATTTTAACCTCTAGAGCACGAAAAATTCTTCCCATTATTCACAACATGTTATTCAATTCAAACAAAATGGCGACTGTCCTCTCTGCACAGGCGCAGGTCCAGTTTCCCATTTTCCATAATGTAATTCTTTTAAATACAGTATGGCCATCTATTTACATATAACTACTGTATTTCTGGAAAATGTATACAGTATTTTGCACACTGTGGCTGGCCGGAGTTCGTTGCTAAATGACTCAAATTACTCCTTCCTTTAGGAGACGATTCCAGCCAGTTCTGGCTTGAGTGGCTGTTCTCCTAGTAGGTCTTACTACGATTTCATCTTCCGGCATCACTTGGTCTGCATTATCTTCCATATCACTCGTGTCACTTTCTCAGATTTTCATTTACGTTTGATTGAACACCTAATTCCAAGGGAATCAATTTATTAATTGTGCGTAAACTTTCCTGGCCACGACACAACATTTTGACATTCCTGACAACACCTTGTGCATCTGGGTACAATGTCAATATTTTGCTGAGATGCCACAATGATCGATGTTGTTCAGTGTCAATTAACACAATGTCACCTGGTTGAATGGTCTGTTGATTTACTGCCTCTGTCGCACCATAAAAGTGTTCACGTAGTGTAAGAAGATATTCCTTACGCCACACATTAGACCAATGATCAATTACTTTATTTAACATTTTAAATTTATTACACAACACTGCTGCATCATTGTAATCTTCATCACTTTCTTCCAGATTATCTCTATAGACAGGGGCAGCTTCCAATTTCCTTCTACATATTAGGTGAGAAGGTGTTAATACATCTGCATCAGGTGTATCACCATGTACGAGAGAGGCCTATTAATTTTATACGATTCTCGGGCCTCCACTAACACTGCACGGAATTCTTCCAAATTAATTCTCTTCTGGTGTAGTACTTTACGGAGACACCTCTTCACTGTGCCTATCAGTCTTTCGTACAGCCCCCCCTGCCTAGGGGCTCTAGGAGTAATAAATTTCCAAGTACACCCTCGTTGGGTTAACAGAGATTGAACATCGTTACTATTATTTAATTCTATCAAATGTTGAGCACCTGCTACAAAATTTGTGGCATTATCCGAAATCATCAATCTCGGACAGGATCTCCTAGCTGCAAATTTTCGAAACGCTGTATAATGTTCTGCAGACAAGTCCCCCTGTCCCACTTTAAATGAACTGCCCTAGTAGCAGAAACAGGTGAACAAACAAATATACACTTTCAGTGGAACACCATCTGAAGTACCCTGTTAAAATTATTGGACCACTATAGCCCACCCTGTTACATCAAATGGTTTCACTAATTGTACATGCTCCTTTGGCAATGGTGGAGGACCTGGGTACATAAAGGATCTGGCATCCACACGGCGACATATTACACAAGATTTAATCACCCTTTTTTACACTTTGCCGTCCTTGTGGAATCCAGAAAGTTTCCCTAATACAATTTAAGGTTCTTGTACCCCACCATGCATTACATTTTTATGGGCATTTAGAACAATCAAATTTGTTAGATGATGAGTTTTGGGCAGTAAGATAGGATGTTTAGCTAATCACCCAATTCAGCATTTTGAAACCCTACCTCTGCCTAATTACATTGTTCTCTAAAATACAGCCCCAATTTCTCTATTATGGAACCTTTCACAATTTTTCTTTCCATCATCAATTTAATCTCATTTCCATAGATTTCTTCTTGTATCCTCTTTATCCAATATTCAAGAGGATGTGAAAACTTATATGAAATATTCATCTTGTTTAGAAATTTAAACACCAACTTAGTTACATTGATTAGTTTGGGTAAAGAAGAGTACCTATTCATATCAATGGCTAAGGGAGGACAAACTGTTGGAGCGGTGGTCACAGTATTTCAACAGGAGCAATATACGCCTTTTGTACAGGCCAATTAGCTTCATTTATCAACCAACTTGGTCCTTTAAACCATGATACAGCATTTACAAATTTAGCATAAGGTAAACCTCGAGACAAGAAATCAGCTGGATTCTCCTCACCAGGTATATGATTAAATGTTAACATATGCTGACCCAAACTATTATACTTCTCTTATATCTCATTAATTTCAGCGACTCTGTGTTGTACGTACACAATTTTATTGTTTCCATTACGAATCCATTGTAAGGATACCTCATTATCAGACCAAATTACAGTGTCGCTAATATTTATCTCCTGCAACACTATTACATTGAAGATAAGCAACTGCTCCATATGCCAATTTTGAAGCATCACAAAAAATGTGGAGTACATTTTTCCCATTTGGATTGGCCACCTGGCGTGGGAACTCCAACATTGGAATTTTTTCATAATCACCAATTCATCCCACCTGTTAATGAATTCTTCAGGTAGAATTTCATCCCAAGCATATTTAAGATTCCATGCTTCCTGCATTAATAATTTCTCTCTTATAGTAAGGGGTGACACTAAACCTAGAGGATCAAAACATTTGGAAACTTCAGCAAGCAAGACTCTCTTAGTTAATTTATTAGGCATACTGTAATTATTAGGTTTTAACATTAACAAATCTCTCTCAGTATCCCAAGTTAATCCCAATACATTACTACATTTTGGCACTTCATCTTCAAGGTAATCTTTACTTATTTTGTCCTTTAATTTGGACGAATTATTATTCCATTCCCTCAGAGGCATATTTGCACTTTGCATTATTTTATTAGCCTCTCCATAAGTCATTAACAGTTCCTCTTCAGTTGACTTTCACACCAGGAAATTGCCCACATAAAATTGTTTGCTCATTACTTTACTCAGTGGATTTTCCCATTGTTAAGGTGTGCTTTTTATCGTCGCTTGAAGTAGGAACGGACGGGATGTAGCACCAAATAATACGCTCCTAAAGCGAAAGGTTTCTGAGGGCTAAGTGGGTCACTAGGATTCTCAGGACATAAAAAAGCGAGTACAATTCCGGTCAGCCTCTTGTAAACCTACTCTTAGGAAAGCTTTACTTATGTCAGCCGAAAAGGGAAATAATGCTTCACACTGAAATTTAATAAGATATCTCCTAATTTTTCCGTCAACGATGGACCTGTCATCAAACAGTCATTTAAACTAGGTACATTTTTGTTACTCCTGGCACTACAATTAAACACAATCCTCAAAGGAGTGGTCTTAGAATCTTTTCTTCACTCCGTGTTGTGGCAAATAGTGACCATAAATTTTGGCTTGCTCAGGAGGTACCTCTTCTATAAATTTATTAATTAATTGTTCAGCAATTATATCATTATAGGCAGTTAACAATTCTGGCGTCTTACTCAGTTCGCGGAGCTGAGCCTTTAACTGTCCATATGCCATTCTGTATTAGTGGACAATTCTGGATGGTTCAGTCTCCCGGAAGTCGCACCAGTATTGTCCAGATTCAAATTTACATCTCTCAGGTATTGATCCTGAGTAAAAAGAATCATCTGGACTTTCTTCATTTACATTTATTCCCAAAGCTGTCTAATTCCCACAATTTATGCACTGGCTCAACAAAATCCTCTATGGAAGGAATTATACTGGGGTACGATTTCAGAGTAAGACACAGTTATGGTATTTGTAGTTTCCTCTAGTCATGAATTATTATTACGAGGAATCTACCATACATTACATGGCCTCCTGCAGTCTTTTAAAAGGGTGACACCACATTTCTTTACCATACCCTTTACAAAGGAGGCATAATAGTCACTCCTATCAAATATTTATTGGGCCTACAGAATCATCACTTACACCTGAAGGTGCTAAAATTTATATTATGTGAAAGTCTTTCTGTAGCTTTACCCAAGCCCTACTGTAGTTATTTTCTCTGGAAGTCTATCTACAATTACTGCATTAAAAACGTGTTTTCTCATTGCCCAACCTGACAGTTACATAAACAGTGTCATACAAATGAGCTCCTTTATCCGAGAGAAAACCAGATAATTTTAAAATTGTGGGATCTCCCATCTGTACTTTCATACCATCAAAAAACATTTACGTTTTATGAAAAGTACGCTGGGATCCCTGGTCCAATAATGCAGTTACATTTTTTTTTATGCCTTTTATCATCAATTTTTACTGTAACACAGGTAAAGGGTACTTCAGCAAAACTATCATTATTAACATTAGCAGCAATTTTTCGTTAGCCACTGTTGTTCAGGATTGTCAACATTTTCATTATTATCAACATTATCATATAGACCTTTACACATGACTATATGGTGTCTTCCTTTGTGACATTGATAACAGAAGTTTAATTTGGCATAACAATCCTTTACATTGTGATTACCCAAACACCTGATACATCTGTCAAGTTCCTTCCAATCTTTCAACTTTATCATTCCATGAATTGTATGCATTGCAATTCTTAGAAAAATGAGTACCCTTGCAGAAGAGACAATCTCTCCTTTCTCTGACTGGTTTCTTATTAACTGGGCTACTCTTAGGAGGGTACTTATTCTTCTTACCTTGTGGAGAATCATTATTTCTGATTCCTGCTACTTGATATGCACCTATGCAACTCTTTTTAGGAAATGAATTTGATTATTAACATTGGGTAATTTTTTCCCTTTATGAAACTTGCGATACCTCAGAGTTATTATGTGTTGCATCTTTAAAATGAGTTAGTTGGCTGGTCTGCAACTGCACAATTAATTCTTGTAGACCTAGTCTTATTTCCCCCAGACCAAAATAACCCTTGTGATATTTGTTCGAGAACCATTCAATTGTTTTATAGTTTAATTTATTCTGTACCATGGCACTCAATAACCAGTCTGATTCCTTCAGATTATATTTATTACTTAAAATTTTGAGAGTGCTCTCTAGTTTAACTCCAAACTGCTGTAAACCTTTGTAAGTGTGATTTGGAGATTTTAAGTTAACAATGATATTCACTAGATCCAACCTACTTTGTTCTGTATTACCATAAGTGACCTTCAACAAGTCAACTGCTTCCTTGTAAGAGTCACCTACATTGGGAAAGGCTTGTATGAGTATGTGAGCATCTCCTCTTACCTGTCCTTTGAGGTAAAATAATTTAGTTACACAGGCTAGGTTACTCCTGTCATGCACAGCTGCTTTAAAAATTGACCAAAATTCCTCTCAATTTTCACCAGGATTAAACACAGGCAAACATAGTTCTGGGAGTTTTGGCAAAGACATATTATTTGTTGGAGCAGACTGATTAACTGCCTGGTTTGCACATTTTAATTTATTCAAGGCCTGACTTTTACAAGAAAGAATCTTTTCTTCTAATTCATAATATTGATTAATCATAAGATCTACTTCAGTCTCATCTACACAGTTTACTAACAAATCTTCATATTTGTTGTAATATAATTTGTATGAATCATATCTATTACCTAAAGCATCTAAATACAATTTTAAATCATCAGTATTCACAGTTTCTTGATTCATTAATTCCAAACATTTATTGTATGCTTTTGTTACATGACCCTTTCTAGCTTGCAGTGATGTTTTTTTTTTTTGCTCTGTATTCCATATGTTTGTCTTCTATATTAATTTCCTCATTTTCAGCCATGATGCAATGTACCAAATTCAACTTAATTAATAACAATGATTACAACTTACAACACTGATACAACTTACCTTTGAATAAATCCTAGCTACTTGAGCTTGGCAATTACATGCAAAAAATTATAATATAAATTTTAAATGTACATTAATACAAACCTTTAGCCAGACTTGGCTCATCAAAATTATTATACAAATTAATATAAATTCTTGCCAGAATTTGGCATAGCAAGATTAATATTATACACATTAATATAATTAGCAACACTTGGCTTATCAATTACACATACACTGATATAAATCTTGGCCAGAATTGTCTTACCAAATTAATATTGTACAAATACATTAATATAAATCCTAGCCACTTTGGCATAGCAAAATTAATATTATACACATTAATATAATCTTTAGTCACCCTTGAGCTTAGCTTATCAAAAATAATATTGTAATTATTATAATCCACTACACATTAAGTAAATTTGTGAACTTAACATCCACCTCCTTCTGTCATTTCACATATAATTATTAAGTAATTAACTAATTAATGACTTCACTAATTACCTCCGGTTCAAGAAGGACCAACGAGCAAATTAAATGTGGAAAATTACATTTAGCTGAATGTATCATTATTTACATAACAGTAAATGAACAAAGATAATTATTATTTTATCAGTTAGACAAGTAGGAATTTGGGACACCTAGGTCGCAAAAAATGTCCCCCTTCGATACCTACCACTGTCATATCCACAAGTTGCTCTGGACTTATTAATTACAAATGAAAAATACATCACCAGGAATATTGGTAATTATATAAATTTGTGGACTGTATATTAAATTAAAAAATGATTATATATAAACACATTTACATAACAGAAGGAAAATATCTTAATCATAACACTCACCAATTTGACTGGAGATTAATGTGTCATGTACAGGACCCCCCCCCCCCTTTTTCCTACATTTATGAAGAATTTACTGGCCAGAAATTAAACATAATTTAGACAGCTTATCTGAGGTTCCTGGAGTTGTCCTGTCCTGTCGCCTGATTCTCAAATTATGCAGGAATGCACATCCAACAATTTCGCCTCCTATTTGAGAGGTGTCAGCCCGATTTTAACCTCTAGAGCACGAAAAATTCTTCCCATTATTCACAACGTGTTATTCAATTCAAAGAAAATGGCGACTGTCCTGTCTGCGCAGGCGCAGGTCCAGTTTCCCATTTTCCATAATATAATTCTTTTAAATGCAGTATGGCCATCTATTTACATATAACTACTGTATTTCTGGAAAATATATACAGTATTTTCCACAAGATTCATACATGAACTGAACACGTGTAATACAAGATTCGTACATGATCACGTGTATAACAAGATTCATCATACATGGCGTCGGTAGAACAAGATTCATCCATATCGCGTAAACACAAGCACACACACACAAACACAAATACTGACCTCTGTCTGAAAAGTCGTCAACAAGAACGATCTCCTTGAGGTATCGAGCCGGGGAGCGAGTGATGACTGACCAGATGGTCCTGAGGAGCGGGCTCCAGGCTTCATTGGTGAAGATGATGATGACAGAGGCGGAGGGCAGGTCGTTGTCGTAATGTATCTCCTTGCAGCTGCAACATATAATAAACATCATCAGTTTCACTAGCACTGTAACGCAACATACTCTCCTAACCCTATCACTTACAATTAACATACAGGCGTACAGCCTTCCATGCTAAGTTTTAACTTTAGGCTGTGCGTAAAGAACATCTATTATTTTTAACAATGATTTTGAAGGCACACACCTGGTTATTATAGACATAAAAGTATACCATAATGATTTAACCTTGGATAATCTAATAAAATCAAAGAATGGTTTATTTCCATTGGTTTCCCTGTTTTTCCACTAGGTTCCCTGTATTTCCAGTGGTTTTCCTGTATTTCCATTGGTTTCCCTGTATTCCCATTGGTTCCTTTGTATTTCCATTGGGAACCATTAGGGACCATAGTCTCGTAGAAGGCACATAATGACTTGGGATGTAACAACAGTCCTGAAGAATGAGACACTGGTGCAACATTTGGGAATCTTTATTGTGGAAGCATTTCGCCAGCCAGTGGCTTCTTCAGTCAAATACAGAGAAGAACGGAGGAAGATGATGAGGAGAGAGATACATGATAATATATACCTGTAAAGTACTCGAGGGTCTGGTCCCAAATCTGCACACTGCCATAACAACATACTGGAGTGAGATATGGGAGGAAGTGTAAAATAAATCCAGTGAGGAGCAGGGGTGCGGTGAAGACAATAACGGAACACTGTATCAGCATTCGGGGTCCCAGACTATTTAACATCTTACCAGAAGATATCAGAAACACGGCTGGAACAAGTGTAGAAGCCTACAAGAGGAAACTGGACAAGTATCTTCACCAGGTGCCAGATCAACCAGGCTGTGATGGATATGTGGGGCAGCGGGCCTCCAGCAGCAACAACCTGGTTGACCAGGCAAGCACTAGACAAGCCTGACCCATGGCCAGGCTCCGAGAGTAGTGAAACTCTCGAAACTCTTCAACTGTAAAGGAGGAATTTGAGGTAATCAATCCCCTAGCCTGGAGTCAACATATTCAGTCCATCAGTGATGAGAAATGTATGTTGGTGTTGTTGGATGTACCCTAAATATGTAGCTCCTTCTGCCATGTGGGTGACTACGTGTCAATGATAAACTGTTTGCTTGAAACACTGGTGTTTTGATGGGCTCTGGTGCAAGGTGGTGCCCTGTTGACCTGACTGCATCTTACATTATACTTTCTCCAGCCCCACCACACCCTTGTAACGCCCACTCACCCACCACATCCATCACACCCACACCCCAATTCCACCACACCTTCAGCCACCACACCCATACCCTCATGACATCACACCTACACCCACACCCCATCCACTACATCCCACCCTAACCCACCACACCTGTGCCCAGTTTCGAAAGCGTTATTACTCCTGCAGTCCGACCTGGAGGCCAGGGTTTCCTGCTGATTGCCTGTTCAACCAGGCTGTAGCTGTTGGCGGCCCACTGGTTCACTTATCCATCACAACCTAGTTGATCTGGCACTTCATGGAGGTAGTAATCCGGTTTCCTCTTGAAGACTTCGACACTTGTTCCGGCAACATTTCGTTTATCTACTAGTAGTATATTGAACAGTCACTTGGACCACTAATGTTACCAGTATTCTCTTACAGTGTCCTGGTACCTCTGCTTTTCACTAGGTTTATTTTACGCTTCTTTCCACATCTCTCACTCCAGTACGTTGTTATGGCCCTGAAGTATCTTCCATGTGGGTATAATATCAACCTATCTTCTGGACTCCATTAAAAATCTGTGAATTTCTCAGATACAATTTACAGCAAAGTTTCTCGGTTAGGTTAAATTAGGTTAGGTTAGGTTAGGATAGGTTTGTTTAGGGTGTCCTCTGTTTATAAAAAAAATAACCAATTAAAGTATAACACAACGGAAAAAAATTAAATATAAGATAAAGGCGATAAAAAGTTCTGTGATCAGAATACTGGCAACCAGTGAACGTGTTAGACATAACTATATCAGATTTTCACTGTTTAAAGTGCCTTCATTAGTCACCCCCTGTGACTGGTTTTTACAACAGTGAAACGATATCTGTGATCTACCTGGAGGACATTCCAGGGATCAACGTGGTTTGACAAGGTTAGCTTAAGGATCCCTAGCTTTATTGACAAGCTATTTACAGGTTATCGGGTATACCTCTCTCTCTTTCCACTGAATATAAATTTAGTACCTTGAGGTATTCCCATCAGTTCAAAGGCTTTATTGGCGCTATGCGGCCTGTAAACATCTTTTTCTTTACCAGTCCTTCTACCTATCAAGCGGAGCCATCAACACCCCTGCAATATTCTAAAACCAGGAAGCACAAGTAATTTGAATAGCGTCCTCATTATTTATCTTATTTTGAAAAATGACAGGCTGGAAATTCATTAGCCACACTGTCAATTGTATGGCCTTTGCGGCATGTATCTTATTTTGTTCACTAAATGATAGGTCATCTGATTTATTTACAAAACTTGTTCTATGAGATGGTTCTTCTGTGTTTTGTATCCAGTCCTCATTTTTAGTGATTCATTTTTTTTCTATACATGAGCAGGTGGAATCTGTGGCTAGTGTTTTTATCTATGGTCTGGGACCGGGTCGCGGAGGCGCTGACCCCTCGGAAGCAACCTTCAGGTATCCATAACGATAAGAAGCAGTAAAGGCGTCAGGACTTGAGCTACTCAACTTTTGCCTTGCAAAGGCTACATTTTGCCGTTTTTTTACTACTCTTTGTGTTCTATTCGTTAGAAAATTGACACTCCACTTTCCTACGTGTTATGTGTATCGGCTTCACTCTGTGTTGTCTTACTCCAAGACACATGTTTTGCTTTCTCAGCTAAAATTTAACACTATTATTTAGTTTTCTTCATTTAGATTTAGACTTAACATAAAGATTTATGGCTTCTAGCCTGGTGGTGACCTTGACTCTGGACACTAGCAAACTCAACACACTATCCCACCTATCACACACCTCACTATCCTACCTATCACACACCTCACTATCCCACCTATCACACACTCACCATCCCACCTACTATCCCACCCACCACACACTTCGCCATCACACCCACTAAACACCTCACTATCCCACCCACCACAAACCTCATCACACACCTCACCATCCCACTCATTAAACGCCTCACTATCCCACACACCACACTCGCTACACCCACACCCCATCCATCACGTCATTTCTTCACTGCAATTGTTTTTCAATTCATTACTTCCACTGCTAATTTACAGACATATGAGTGGGAAGAGGACAACAACAGCCTCGTGCATCACATGAATACATGGCCAGGTGAACACAGAAAACAAAAGAATGTTTTGCCTAGTATTTTCTAAACCAATAACTGGAAATGTATCTTTAACGAGAATAACAAAGAGAATTGCATCATAATTATTATTATTAGCATTATTATTATTACTATTCCAAGTAGCTCGATTTTCTTGAATCAAGAGTTTTAGCAGGAAGTCACCCTGCTTAAAGGGAAACAGTCATTACCATCACATGTCACTAGAATTACTACTAGTATCAGGATTAATATATATATATATATATATATATATATATATATATATATATATATATATATATATATATATATATATATATATATATATATATATATAATATATGTCGTGCCGAATATGTAAAACTGGTCAATTAGCAAAACTCATTTAAAATTAAGTCCTTTCTAAAATTTTCTCTTATACATTTAAAGATATATTTTTTTCATTAATGTTGATGTAAAAATTTTTAATTTTGCACCAAAAGGAACTTAGAAAACTTACCTAACCTTATTAAAACAAGCGCAATTTATTTTAGCCTAACCCAACTAAATATATTTTAGATTTGTTTACAATAATTTAATACTAAACAAACACACTGAAATATATTTTTTTAGCTAGGTTCAGAATGATTTTGGCGAAATTATTGCATACACAAATTTTCACTTGTCCTATATGGCAAGATGAGCGTTGCTATTTAAGCCAAGATCGCAAGTTCTGCCTATTCGGCACGACACACACACACACACACACACACACACACACATATATATATATATATATATATATATATATATATATATATATATATATAACGATCAGACTAGGAGACATTGGTGTCCGTCCGCAAGTCATCAGAGATTGCACTACCTGCCTTTCTCTCATGTATTGCATCCAGAGGGCTTGTAGCAGCAATTCTCTCTGAACATCTTAGGGACAAGATTGGAGTCCAGGACCAAAAGTTCATTGACGGAGCCATGATCTGGGATAATCTAACGGGCTCTGAAACCAGACCTGCTCCCCCCAACAACTACAAACAGTCGCACTGGGATGGCCCGATAGTGGAGAAAATAGCCTCAACAATGCTTCAGTGTGTGTCAGGGAAAGATAGAGCCCGCCTCCTGGCAGTGAGAGCTCCTCATGCAGGGGACTTTCTATTGGCTGTTCCCAACTCCTGCCTTGGCACACGGCTCGACCCACAGACCATCCGCATTGGTGTTGCCCTTCGTCTTGCCGCCCCTATTCTCGCCGAACACAGATGTATTTGTGGCAGTGAAGCAGCAGACCGATTCGGGTACCATGGTCTTGTGTGCCGTAAATCCGAGGGAAAGATTGCAAGACATGAGGAGGTTAATAACATTATCAAGAGGAGCCTCACAACAGCCGGATGCCCATCAGTAAGGGAGCCACCCCAACTATGCAGATCTGATGGCAGCCAGAAGCGTCCAGATGGTATCACACTTCAAGCCTGGACAGACGGTAAGCAGGTGGTGTGGGACTACACATGTGCATCTACCTTGGCTGATACCTATCTCCAATACACCAGGGAAGAAGGAGGGGCAGCCGCCAGCTTCAGGGAGTCCCACAAGTCTAGAAAATATGGAGAACTTGCCCATCATTATATGTTTGTTCCCATAGGCTCTGAGACCCTTGGCTCATGGGGAAAGAGTGCATCTAAGTTCCTTAAGGAGCTA